GAAAAATAAAAGAATAGAAAATAATAAAACAAAACAAAAATCCTAATTGCCTTCGTCTTCCCCTAGGTTGGTTCGGTCACGATCTCGGGTAGAATCAAGCCATATTCTCGATATGAGCTAGCAATGCCAAGGATCCAAACGCCACACATGCAAGAAATGTAGAAGGCTAGAATAACATAGATACATCCTCACAAGAATGACGGTAGTGGAGTAGCAAAAATCACCTTTAAAGTTTCAACTAGCTAGAGAGCGACAACCATCTTACCACAAACCAAGTGAGCTAAGGTCTCATAGCCCTTAAGTTCTACTATCTTGGCAATGTTATATGTGTGAACCAACCTCGGCATTCAAGTGCATGAAAACCTCTAACAAATAGAAAAGAGGGTATTCTAGGTGCTAAAGCCCAATTATGTCCAAGTTTAAAACAAAATATTTTGAAACTTTGCCTTGAATGCCATGGAAAGACACTATACACACAAATATACACAAAAAAAAAAAACAATACTCATGAATGCATATACAATTGTGCAAGATGAAAGCATGAACAATCAAAGCTACAAATACCAAAAATCAACTCAATAAGGCGCTCATGGCCATCCAAACATAGAAAACCAATCTCAATAATAGACTTTGGCAAGTATGAGAGAAATAAATCAAGCAATCATGAGACTATGGATTAAGAAACCACCAAGAGATATAGATAACCCCCCAAGCTAGCGAATAGCTACTCCCCCAAGCTAGAATGGAGCATTGTCCTCAATGCTCAAAATAAAGGCACAAAGGGTGGGAGGGAGGGGAAGAAAGAAAACACATTCACACAACAATTCATAATTCATTCAATCCACATGCATATGAGAAAGCAAATTTAAGATGAGGGAAGAAGGAAAGAGTAAACCAAATGTGAGGTGGGTGTTGAAACCCTCAATTGAGCACATTGTCCACATTTTCATCTAATTCCTCGTCTTTGTTGCTTTCTAAATGCAAGCAATCATTGGTGTGCTTCTTCTCAAGGATCTCAATCCAAAATCCTTGCACATGAGTATATGCATCAAGTACCTATACACATAGATAAGAGAGTAAACAAAAATGAGAAACACAAAAGAAAGAAAAAGAAAGCAATCAAACACGATTACTTCCCGAGAAAGGCTTGCTTAACGCCCAAGCATGACCAATCTAGTAAATAACCCGACAAAGAACGCAAAAGCTTGTCATATGCACCGGCAAACATATCAAGAAATAGAGCATATGCGATGCTCATATGACAAACAAACATAAAGTACAAGGAGACTTTATGCTTGAGAGAAGGGAGAAAAGAAAAAGTAAAAGAATCAAAAGAAAAATCAAGAAAATAAGAAGAAAAAGTAGAAGAATAAAAAGAAAAATATGGAGGCAAACTCTCCACACAAAAATCGTTTTGGTTGGCATTATAACTCTTTTCCTCATCAACAACGAAAGAGTTGGGGGCTTCGGAAGCATGGATAGGAAGAGGATCCCTAAGAGGTTCTTTGAGAAAAGAAGGGAGGAACATAGGATAGTAGGAGATATGGTTAAACCTTTGGGAGAAAGGTGTATGAGAAAGGGAAAAAGGGGTAGCTAATCCCTCATCACAAGATCTCACATCACTAATGAGGGAATGAAAATCAATCATGGAATCCTCAAATGAAGAACCCTCACGTTTTACATCGCCCTAAAGCTCAAAAACTCCAAATGATTCAACCTCAACCTCCTCTTCACAACCTTGAACAACATCTCCCTTAAATTTCTCAAGGCCTACCATCTCAAAATCAAGAGTGAATGGGGGAAAATTTCTCTCAAACTCATCTCTTTCTAATGAAGCCTTATCAATGAACTCACTCATAAGGTTATGGGCTACCGTTTGAAACTCAAGAAATATTTGGGCCATAATCTCAAATGAGTCCAAATCATAATGGATAGACGAGTCAAAAGCTTGCTCATTGGAATCATCTAGGGGACTATGGGGCACACCTTTAGAATTCATGAAAAAATCGGATGCAATATGAGAAAGAACATGCACTTCATCATCATTAGAATGTACCTCATTACATTGAGCTATAGAGGGAGGGGAGTTGAAATCATGCATTACATGGTCACTACGGGGAGCATCAAGAACATCATGGGAATTCATATTAGACAAATCATGACAATTAGCATCAACATTTAAAGCATGAGAATCCCGAACATAAGTCTCATGATTGGCACTCTCCCAATCATAATTATCCCTAGCTAACCATGAATAGAAATCCCAAGCTTCATCCGAAGACATATCTTGAAATCTACCATTTAACATATTGTTAACTACTCCTCTAAAATGCTCATTTAATCCCAAATTGACGATTTCACAATAATCACCCTTGGTTAAACATTTAACACCATCTAGGAAATCCTCAAGTCTATTGAAATACACCCAAAACGGTTCATTATCAAATTGAGGAATAGAAATATAAGCCAATTTTTTCAAATAAAGAAACACAAATAAAAAACAACAAATAGAATGAAAATTATAAAACAATGGACTAGTCTCAATAAGATAACATAATGGTAATGGAAGTCGTTCCCCGTCAACGGCGCCAATCTGTCAAGGGAATAAACGCGTCGTCAATTTTCTATCCCTTGATCAAATACAATTTATACAAACTAAACAAACCTAATACGAGTATAAGGCAAGCATAGGGGTCGAACCACAGAGAACGGATAAACACCACCAAATGTTATCGACAATGAAGCTAGTCCGCAATAAGAGATAAATAAACTAAAGTCTAAAGATGCTAAAACAAAAAATAAAACATTAAGGGAAATGGTTTAGGTATAGCATTCACTTGAACATAAACAAAGGCATAGAAATTGAATTAATTATGAACTAAACATGCTCGAATATCGAAGTAAAGGATCCAATCTAGCCGCCTTCCGGGGTCAATTGGCTTCTCCTAACATAGCCTCTATGTTTCCACATTAGAACCATATAATGGGAGGTATTATTAAATAACAATCGATAGTAATAACCTTAACTAAGTCAACTTCCGTTCCTTGTTAGCAAAGATTCACCTTTAATCAACCAACAATGTGCACTTGCAAGAAGATTAAAGAATATCAAGCATATAAAGACTTTAATCACAAATAAATTAATTCTAAAACCTAGAACATGCTCAAGATCCAACTACACCACAACCATCCCCTTAATGAGGAAATTACTCACTAATCATGCTAATAACAAGGTTAATTAACAAACAATCAAGAATAAACATGATTAACAAGCAATACCAACAACTAAAATAATAATCAAAATAAAGCAAATAAAAATAGAGGAGAGAGAGTTAGAGATTCTCATTGATTGAATGTGAAAATCTACAAGCAAGATGATCAATCTTCCTCTTCAATATCCAAGCTCAACAATGGTGAAACCCTTACTTTCTCTCTCTAAACTACTCTAATCTTAACCTAAACCTAGAGAGAGAAGCTCTCCTAAAACTAATTAGAGAATAGAATAGATGGTAATTGTTTTTCTTCTCCTATTCTAATTACCCCAAAAATGGGTATTTATACTAAGCTAAGAATACTAAGTAAATAAAAGAAAATAAAATAAATTAAAAAGGAAAAATAAAATAAGAAAACTAATTATAAAAATAAAAGAAAGAAATAAGAAAAGGGAAAAGAAAAGAAAGAAATATAAAATAAAAGAAAGAGAAAATAAAGCCAAAATTAATTCCCCAAAAATATCAGATTCTTTCAAGTTTCTTCTTCGAGGTTGGCTGCTCAAAAATGGGGGAATGATCCCATGCTTTGCATCTCACCAAATCAAACTAACAACCGTCATCATCAAATCACCACCGCTCATCATCATTGAAAATCGGCATCAAGCAAACACCACCGTTCGATCTTCATTAAAATCCCGTGCGATGCTCGTGAAATGGTTCGATCAAACCTCGGGTAGGTTCGACCAAACTACGGGTTGGTTCGGTCGAACCATGGTTATGTTCGACCACACCTATTCAATTTAGAAAACTTCAAAAGTTTCTGACTGTTTTGGCACTTCGACCGAACTCCTATGCGGTTTGCCTGAACCCGATTAATTTGCGATTGCTCTGATTTTTGCCGTTGCTTATGCGAATTGGTGGTTTCATGACTGATTGTTGCAGGTGGACGATGGTGCAGGGGTTGTTTTTGTGGGTTGCGATTAATTGCGAGTTGGGTGGCTGAAATGGAGTGGCTACGGTGGTCGGAGTCGTGGTTTGGTGGTTGTGACTGTTGGTGATTGAGAATGGTGGTGCGGAGGGGATTGTGATTGATTGTTGCGGTGGTCGTTAGTGGTGAGGTGCGTGGATTGGGTGCGTGAGGGAGCAGCGGTGTTGCTGGGTTGTTGTTGCGGCTGTTGTGGTTGATTGTGGTGGAGATGGAGAAGGGGAATTGGTTGCGGATTGTTTGGTGGTGTTGGTTGATGCGTGAGTGAAGCAAGGTGCAGTTGTGGTGGCTGTTGAGGCTGGTTTGGTTGGTGGCAGCAGGGGATTTGGTGGCTGGTGAGTGGTGTTTTCGGGGGCTAATGGGTTGGTGTGAAATGGTGGTGGCACTGTGGTGATTTGGTGGTTGATGGTGGTGGTGGTTGCAGCTCGCGTTGGTGTTTCGTTGTGGCTGGAGTTTGACTTCACTACTACAAAATTGGCCAAAGAGACCCGTTCAAATAAGCCAAAGAGACTGCCTTAGAGGTGGTCTCTAGATCACCGGTCTCTTTGGCTAAGAGACTGCTTCATTGTAGGCGGTCTTAATTTTTATAAAAATTGAAACCTGTCATCTAAGATAGGCGGTCTCTTTGGGTAATTATAGATAAAATAAATTAGAAGCAAAAAAGACCCGTATTGTCAGATAAGCAGTCTTTTTTTTTTTAATTTATAAAGACCTGTTATATTACATAGGTGGTCTCTTGAAACATTTTTTTTAATAAAAGAAAACATTTATTCATATCTAACGTATGTGATGTTGTACATGTATAAACATTAAGATACCATAATATGTACAAAATTCATATAAAAATATCCACACTAATACTTAATTCTGTACAAATACGAAAAAAAAGTAAAGAAAAAAAATTTATTTCAATTCATTACATAATTTGAATCTTGATATACAGAGATCTCAATTTCTATATCATTAAATCCCACCATTTTCGGACTTTGTGGAGAAACCCAGAAGCTATAGACCTCTAAAATTGCAAACGATTGCTTGAACTTGTCAAATCCGGGTAAATAAAGTATCATCCAATCAACTCGTCGAATCTGGGTAGAGTATTCAAAAACAAAATAAAAATAAAAATTAGGAGTCATATGATAAGCATCAAAATTCATTTACAAGAATAATTAAAGTAATAATTGACACAAACAACGAACAGATCTAAAAAAAACTGAATCGGAACATACATAAAAATATAAATTTTAAAAAAAAAGAGATAACAACAATTGTAAATGAGTATAAGATTCAAGTGAAACTCTGAACATTAAAACAAAATACTCATCATCAAACATTTAAAAAAAAGAAGCATTATAATATAAAAGATCTAAAATTTCATGACACAAAACGTTTCTTTATTATTAGAATGGTTAACTGGGTAAATTCATCATTCAAGTACCATAGATCTTGAGATATAATAAACATACAAGAATTAGCTCAAAAACTCAAAGATCTAACACAAAAAATGTAGATAACAGCCTCTGATCCCCCTAAAAAAAATCCCAAATTCAGGAATTTCAAAATCAAATTAAAAACCCTAAAAATAAATATACCCTGAAAAAATCACATTACCCCTACTGATTATGCCGAAAAATAAAACGAAAAAAGGGGTAAAACTTGTAGATCTAACCCAAATAAACTTATACTTTGTAGATAATACGAAATTGAAGGGAAAAAACACCTATTTTTGCGCCACATCTAAAAAATAATTAAATTGAAAAAGTAGGAAAACTTCTCATTGATCTAGCGTTTGAGAAATCAAAGAGCTTAATTTCCATAATTTTGTTCTCTTTCTTTTGCCATTCCTCTTTCCTTTTCTTTGTTTATGGTTGCTTGATTTGAATCGTTGCTATTTGGCTTGAAGGAAATGGTTAGGGTTTGAAGGAGGAGACCGAAAGAGAGAAGGGAAATGAGCAGGGGTATGTGAGTAGCCGGGTAAGAGTCAAGAGGAGAGAGAAGTTAAAAAGAGAGTGGTGTACGTGGAAGCGTGAAAACAATAGACCTGTCTTTAATGTTAACCAGTCTCTCTATCAAAAACAGGAGACCGGTTATCTCTATAGGCAGTCTCTGATTTATTTTTAAAAATTATTTTTTAAAAAAAAAAAACGCAAGAGACCCGTTTTTTTAAATAACAGATCTCTCGAATAGTTTTACCCCTCCAACAAATGAAGTTAGAGACCTGTTATTAATAATAAACGGTCTCTTGCACCAAAGAGAACGCTTATATAGATAACAGGTCTTTTATATTGGGTCTCTTTGGCCAATTTTGTAGTAGTGCTTTTGACATGAATTCGGAAACCAAACTCACTTGACTTAAAACCCGAACACCTACACACAAAACCGAGGAAAGGGATTGGGACAAAGAATAAAATAAAATAAATAAAATAGAAAATAAAAGAAATAACTCTAAACTAATAAAAATTAAATAAAACTATACAAGTAAATAAAATCAAATAAATAACAAAATAAATATGAAACTAATAAACACTATGAAAGTAACAAAGAAAAGGAACGAAATAAAATACATCGAAAGCAAATAAAATACGAAAATAAACTAGAAACCAATTAAATAAAGAAATTAAATTAAAACATACTAAAACTAAGAAATAAACTAGAAACTTTATTAAAAAGAAAACAAGAGAATAAAAGGGAAAATAAACACGAAAATAATTCTAAAACTACTCCCTAAGAGTGACATAAATGTCACTCATCACATTGCCATGTTTTCATGCTTTTGAAAAATCCAAAAAGATTTTTGTTTTAATCAAGGCAATTGGTGTTGTGTCTTTGTTTTAACTTGGATTGGACATTATATCTTGTGGATTTGTTTACTCTTGAATGCATTTCTTCCTAAGTGGTTAATGTGTGCATGATTTGAAAGTGTCATTGGTTGACTCTAGTATATTACATGCTAAGGTAGTCGGGTTAAGAACTTTTAGGAACCCATGAAGCCCTAGTTCACGGGTATGTGGTAAGATGGCGTTGCTCTCTATAGCAGATATGACACCCTTGGTTGGTATTTGACTAGTTATAATCCCTTGCGAGGTAACATTGTTCTAGCCTTCATCATTTTGTTGTGTGGCACATTTGAATCCTTAACTATGCATGTCTTGATCCTTGTTTTGACTTATAGCTCCCAAGATCGTGACCGAAGCACTCTAGGGGAGGAAAAGGGCACCCCTTTCTCATTTTTCTTTATCTTCTTTTTGTTTTGTTACAAATTTGATTTTCTATTTTGCATCCACCTGCTTGCTAACCAATTTGAGCCTTATGTTTCCTGCTCTTGTTTAAACCGCGTTACAAACCTAATGGCCTATGTTTACCAACCTTTTAGTTAGTGAGTCATTGGCATGTGAGGTTTGAGTTTTGAGAATATTGATCATAAACAAGAAGCACTTTAAGATTTGGTTAGAGTTGAGTTTCAAAAGAAAGATGCAATTCAAGAAAATCAAATGATGTTGCAAGAAAAAGCCGTCCATAGTTAAAAAGGCAAGGACAACGAATAAAATCTCTAAAAAAAAGGAAAAAAAAATTGGAAAAGAAAAAAAAATAATAAAAATATTTTTGATGGTTTCGTTTTCTTCCTTAGTTTAAGCATTGGGGACAATGCTTTGTTCAAGCTTGGGGGGATCGTTCCTTCATTTTGTATATATTGTGCGTTGGTGTTGAATAAGCTTGAGGGAGTGGAATTATTGGTATTTTTGTTTGATATTTAGTGACTTCTTGAGTTTTTTTTGAGTGTCGGCCACACTTTTTACTTCACTTAGGAAATATCACCAAATTTCAAATTTTTACCCCGCCTTAACCCTTGGTCTTACATTACTATCAATAAAAATACCCTTAGACTCTAGTGGGTTAGGTCAAAAGAACGGTGGAGGGAGATAGACTTCAAACCTATGGAAAGAGTATGCATAGTTAAGACGTCGGGATTATTTTCTCAAAGTTTTTCATTTCTTTATCTTTTTCTGGTTGCTTCGTGGAATCTTGAGAAGCTAGCTTAAGGATTGATTTGAAGCTAGTGGAGAGAACGTGGCCCGATTGGTTTTGGGGCTAGGGTGGATTGAGTCATAAGTAGTTCTCTATGCTTAGCATGTGTTATGTTTCAATCAACCATCGACATCTTGGAACGTGCATACATTTATCCATTTAGAAAGGTTTGCATTCATTAATACTTGTCCCTATCTTTTGTCCATACATGAGCTTTGTGTTTGTTTTCTCTTTTCATGTTTCTTCTCTTTTTCCATTTGTTGCCTTGCCTTGGTTTTTGTCGAGAGTTATGGGTTAAACCTCTTAGGAAACCCTCACGAGAGCTTACTCGTCCTCTTTGGCGACATGGGAGTTTAAAGGGCTTGATGCATACGCTAAATGCATCCGTGATTCCTACGGCAATGAGTTAGTGTACATTCTTTCTCTTTGTTTCTATTTTGTTTCTTTTGCTTTCAATAATCCCATCTTGTTCTCTTTTGCCTTAGCTTTGCTCGAGGACGAGCAAAGGTTTAGCTTGGGGGAATTTGATGAATGACATTTATATCACTCTTAGGAAGTATTTTTAGAGTCATTTTAGTGTTAATTTCCCCTTATTTTCCCTTTTATTCTCTTGTTTTCCTTTTAATAAAGTTTCCAGTTTATTTCTTAGTTTTAGTATGTTTTAATTTAATTTCTATATTTAATTAGTTTCTAGTTTATTTTCATATTTTATTTGCTTTCGATTTATTTTATTTCGTTCCTTTTCTTTGTTACTTTCATAGTTTTTATTAGTTTTAAGTTTATTTTGTTATTTATTTGATTTTATTTACTTGTATAGTTTTATTTAATTTTTATTAGTTTAGTGTTATTTCTTTTATTTTCTATTTTATTTATTTTATTTTATTCTTTGTCCCAATTCTATTCTCGGTTTTGTGTGTAGGTGTTCGGGTTTCATGTCAAGTGAGTTCGGAGCTCGGGGACTTGTTCAAGTGTGCATTACTTTGATAGCTGCTGCCTCCGTCCACCGCTTTCAGCCACCCAAAACAGCAGCCCCTGCACCACCGTCCACTAAAACTCACTCAACCAACCAAATACCAGCTCACAACTCCACCACACCAATGTTTCCCCTCCTCCCTCACTCAACCAACAAACCACCAGTTCACCACTCCAGCTCCCACGCAACTGTTGCCACCACAACCCAATCAACTCCACCACATAGCAGTCCACCAAAACCGGAGCAGCACCGTGCAACCCAATTACCAACCACCCGCATCTTCGCGCAACCACCAGCCCTTTACCCACAATCAACCACTAAACTCCAGCCACAACAAAACACCAACACGAGCTGCAACCACCACAACCTCCGCATCTACCAACCATCACAAACCACCTGCAACAACAACAGAAACAAACACAACAACACCAGCACCTCAATTCCACTCCCACGCAACCAGCAACCCGCAACATCCCTCACACCAACCATCCCGCAACAGCAAAACCAAAGCAGCCCGCATCTCCAATTCTCCAACCACCACCAATCTTCACACCTACTGCAATTCGGCCCCTCAATTAAGCAAATATCAGAGTAAATTTTGATTTCAATCAAGTTCGGGCAAACCGCATAGGAGTTCGATCGAAATGCAAAAAAATGTCAAAAGAGTCAGAAACTTTGGAGGTTTTGTTATTCGAAGAGGAGTGGTCGAACACACCCATGGTTCGACCAAACCAACCCCGTAATTCGGTCGAACCAACCATCGGTTCGATCGAACCATTTCACAAGAATCGCACATGATGTTTAATAAAATCGAACGGTTGATATTGAAGGCCGAAGCAAGGATAGCCGATGATGATGGTTGATGAACGGTGGTGATGTGTGATGCGGTGGTGATGGAGTTCAGAGGAGCCATAAAATCGAGGAGAAGAAGAAAGCTTAGGGGGTCTGATTGTTTTGGGGGGGGGGGGGATTTGTTTTTGGTTTTAATTTTCCTTTTTCTTTTATTTTTATTTCATTTTTTTACTTTCCTTTTATTATTTCTTTCTTTTATTTTATTTTCTCTTTTTATTTCTTTATTTTTCTATTTCTCTTTTATTTTATTAGCTTAGTATAAATACCCTATTTTGGGGTAATTAGAGGGGGAGGAGAAACAATTACCAACTATTCTACTCTCTAATTAGTTTTTAGGAGAGCTTCTCTCTCTAGGTTTAGGTTAGGATTAGAGTAGTTTAGAGAGAGAAAGTGAGGGTTTCACCATTGTTGAGCTTGGATATTGAAGAAGAAGATTGATCATCTTGTTTGTAGATTTTCACATTTAATCAATGAGAATCTCTAACTCTCTCTCCTCTATTTTTTTTGCTTTCTTTTGATTATTATTTTAGTTGTTGGTATTGCTTGTTAATCATGTTTATTTTTGATTATTTGTTAATTAATCTTGTTATTAGCATGATTAGTGAGTAATTCCCCCATTAAGGGGATGGTTGGGGTGTAATTTGACCTTGAGCATGTTCTAGGGTTTAGAATTGATTTATTTTTGATAGAAGTCTTTATTTGCCTGATATTCTTTAATATTCTTGCAAGTGCACATTGTTGGTTGATTAAAGGTGAATATTTGCTAACAAGGAACAAAAGTTGAATTAGTTAAGGTTCATTATTATATATTGTTATTTAATAGTACCTCCTAGTATATAGTTCTAATGTGGAAGCATAGAGGCTATGTTAGGAGAAGCCAATTGACTTCGGAAGGCGGCTAGATTGGATCTTTTACTTCGATATTCGAGCATGTTTAGTTCATAATTAATTCAATTTCTATGCCTTTGTTTATGTTCAAGTGAATGCTATACCTAAACCATTTCCCTTAATGTTTTATTTCTTGTTTTAGCATCTTTAGACTTTAGTTTATTTACCTTCTATTCTGGACTAGCTTAGTTGTTGATAGCATTTGGTAGTGGTTACTTGTTCCCTGTGGTTCGACCACTATGCTTGCCTTATACTCGTATTAGGTTTGTTTAGGTTGTATAAATTGTATTTGATCTAGGGATAAACAATTGACGA